TTTAAATTTTTTTTAGCAGTTGCTTTGGTATTAACAGTGAACTCCTGGTATTCACAAAGTTTTGAAAGTTTGTGGTTGCCCATTTTCGAAGCAGGGGCCTAACTAGATATCTGTATGACAATAATTGGCCATACTTATGAAAGTTAATAAGGGCCGATTCCAGCACTGAGTCGTTTTGTTAAACGAAGTTTGAATTAATAATCTCTGATTTAAATATAATTTTTCCACCGACATGTGCACTACGTTTAGTTAATTTAAACTACAGTTTAAATTAATCCCTCAAGAATGAGCGCTTAAAAATGTAACTCGTTTAACATAATCTGTTGTGATTTGCCAAATAAATTCGGATGAAGACGAAATTTTAGAAAAATATATATACATTTGATATTGAGTTTGGTTTACTAAGAAGAACTTTAATAAGACAGGATTATTTTGTTGAAATGGAATAGACGATTCAGTTGAACTTTTCATTTTGAACTGATATCAGTTGATAGTTTTCGTATAAATCATAACTTTTTTATTTTATTTTCTTTCAAAATAACTTTTGCTTGTATTATTTTCTAGTGAAGTTGCAATAAATTCTGCAGTTATTGTGCTCCAAATTTACTTTTTATTTGGTATAAACAGCTAAATTTATGAGCATTGATTTTTTTATAAAAAAAATATTCCTATCAGAACCTTTGGTTCATTTTACAAACAGTTTTTAGTAGTTATTTATGCTAAAAAAATGGATACCATCAATGAAAAATATTTAACGGCTAGGTATCAAAAGTAATTATCAGAAAGAGTAGTTCCCGTCTCGCATATCGCCCATCTGCCTGCCGTAATTGGACAGTTACATCTTTACCAGTATAGTGGGATAGCAAGTATACTTTATTTCAGTCTGATCAATAGCTGTATCAATAGTATTGGTTATATACCGTTCTTTGAAGAGAGGTTTGAAAAGTTAACAAACATAAAAAAAGTGGGGCAGGGAGAAGTGAGGTTATATGAACAGGGTGAAGTTAGTTACCTCTGATTAGATAGTTTTTAACAAAAAAAAAAATCGCCAGAAGGATCTACTTAACTTCTTCCTAGTAACCTCTTTAAATTACGGAGACGGTGGAACATAACCTATGTAAATAGTTTTAAAATTTATGAGAAGTTTAGTTATGGATAGAACTGTAAATCGGTGGAATTTGGCCATATAACTTTTACCTATAATCTTTTGGAATACTTTATTATTGATTCAAAAACCACCTTTTATGTGTACCTAAAGTTTTGGGGTGCTATTTAAAAAGGACGACTAAGAATATTCGGGAGTAATAAATGGCTATTTTCCAAACAAAAAACACAACGTCCTGTAATATATATGAGTCGTTCGGTGAAATTAAGCCCACAGAATGGAGTAGATATCGCAGTATTTAATTTGCATTTACACGTCGTGCCTCTACATATGTAAGTATGTTTTTGATAAAACATTATAAAATACAACTTTTGTCTATTTTTTTTGTATACTGCCTTTCGTTTTGAGTTGTCTTTTTAGTTGCTTCAGAGACGTGCAAAAGTTTAGATATTGTTTTCTCGAAAACGAAAAGAGATTCGCAAAAATATAAGGAGACAATAAAGTTGTATTTTTAGTTGCTTTATTCGAAACAAGTTAAACCATTGTAAATATCTAACGAGCGCTATAACTTTTGGATAAAATTACCTGTATTTCGGAAATTAAGCGTTTTTGGACATAATATTGTTATTAAACAAACAAGATTTTTTTGGTGCCCCCTACCACCCTTAAAAGTTTGGCGGTATATTAACGGGACACCCTATATACCCTATCATGATCATACTGTCCTGTTGGCTTCGTCAGTGCCAATTAAATTTGAAAAATATGAAGATATGAACGTAATCATGTGCAATATCCTAATAAATAAAAAAAAAAATCTGATGTGTCCAACACATGACTTTCCTATCTAGTTATTATAGGCTTTTTCCGGTTATTTTGTACAACCTATTGCAGCATCTCTATAAATGTTTAGAGGATGAACTAAATATATACATTGTCCACATACATCTACCTCGAAACACTTTTCTATAGATATTCATGGAAAACGAAAATACTGAAAAATTTAAATTTCCTACAATTTTTTCATTACGGTCCATTTTATAAAAATCATGTATAAACAAAAATTATAGAGATCGATATCGCAAACAACTTTTATTTCAAAAACTTTCATAAAAATCAGAATTTTGCACATTTTGTCAAATTTCTCGAATACGGACCATTTCAGGAAATTTTTACATATAACAAAAATTATAGATAATAATATTAGAAGTAACTTTTATTTGAACAATTTTTGTCTCCAAACATTAATAACAGATATATTCCATAAAATATAAAAGTGGCCTCCCATAAAGTACCCCCCCAGATGTTCCGACTATGTCCAAAATCTAATCATTTCACGTCAGGCCGAAATAAACCTTAAGTTTAAAATTTAATGTTTTTTTCTTTATCCGTTTTTGAGTTTTCTTCAAAATTCGAAATTTAACATTTTCTCAAATATCTCGAATACGGTCCATTTTAGAGAAATTATGTATAGAATAAAAATTAAAGAGAATTATATTACAAACAACTTTTATTTGAACAATTTTTATAAAAAAATATTTTTTTTACATTTTGTCAAATTTCTCGAATACGGACCATTTTAGGAAAATTTTGCATAGAACAAAAATTATAGATAATTATATTAGAAGTAACAGACACACACACACACCCACAGACACACACACACACACACACACAGACACACACACACACACACACACACACACACACACACACACACACACACACACACACACACACACACACACACACACACACACACAGACATCATCGCGAAAATAGTCAAAACGGATTCAGGGGACCTCAAAACGTAAAAATCCGTCGAAAACTCGAGGTCGAAAAAAATCATGATTCCTATACTTTCCTTATATCTGTATACAGATAGGAAAGTAAAAAGGATAAATTATATTCATTTAAAAAAAAAATATATGTATATATACCGAGTATCCGCGCGAAAACTTCGGTTTTGTTTATTTCTGTTTAAACTTAAAATATGAATTATTAAGATATGAAGCAGTGCATAGGGATCGTACTTCGAGTACTTTTATGTCTTTTTTATCTCCCTTTGCATCAACCTACTCTTACCTCAAAATTTTCAATGGTACCCTGCAAAGGATTAGGAGGGAGCACTTTTTTTTGAGAACGTTATCCATAAAAAAAGTTACAAATTACAAAGATTACTTTTTAGAATATTTTAATTTAAAATTTTAATAAAATATTTTATTTTCTTTGAAAAATCAAGGTACCTATGTATAAAAAGTATGTGGAATTTCCTGCCTCGATGCACTGTCTCACCACAAAAATTCAAGATTTCAACTAAAATTTTACCAGAAATAAGGCCATCCGAAATTTTTAGGTGGACTCGGAATATAGTTGAAATTATCTGATCCTGATTTCTATGGATTTTTTGGAGGCATTCATTCCACAAACTATATTTTTATGTAATGAATTTAAATTATATTTCAATAAAATAAAAGTACTAGATAGGTACTTACTACCCAAATAAAATACACAAAAAAACTTCACAGGAAATGTCAAATTAACGCAAAAATAATAAGAATATACTGGAAATATAATAAACACACTTAAATCAAAGTTCCGAACATAAATAAAAAATGCACTTAACTAAAATAAATAAAACAAATAGCCCATATATGGGTGATTCTCGCCTAACTGTGATTATTTATGTCCAGTGTTTTATTTATCATTTAGCATAAGTTTTCCTCATCAAAAAGTTAATAATATTATAAATTTAGAGGTATTTTACAACCGACATTATGAATTAGATCATAAACCTTTTTTTTTAAGCTGCATATAAATATACTCGAAATGTCAGTACCGTGGCATGTCCGATTATCATTTTTAAAATTAAATATATAAATTTCTATCAAAATTAATTTTTTAATATAAAATTTACCTCTTATAACTACAATCTAATGCATACTGCATTGAATTTTATTGCAATTTTATACCAATCTTGGATTGGTAAAAAAAATAATCATTTATATGTCAGTACCGTGGCATTAAAATTTTTAAATTTTGTCACAGTTTTCGTTGTGTCGTAGCTGTAGTAGAACCACTTTACAGGCTTATTTCTATGCATAAATAGAAAACAAAAACGCGTAAAACATACGTTTTGAAACATTTTTAATTTTAGAAAAATGTAAGTTGTAAAAATCACAGTTAGGCGAGAATCACCCAAATACACAAATATTTCAACCATTATTTGGAAATTAGAGTAAATACGCCTGTTTATAACGGATTATGTGGGGTCAGTGCCACACGATAAATATTTAACCCATCAACTAACTGCGACTCTATTTTGGATTAACTAAAATTCAAATTTATATTTGATGACTGTATCCTAGGTTTAAGATAATGCAGAACTTTTATGAAGAATAACTTTTTTTCCTAAAATTAATAATAAAATAATAATACTTTAGTTTAATATAAAAATAAACTACTACAACTAACCATATACCTGTCTCACGCTACGACACTGATTTATTTAATTGAATTAAAACCTAACTGGTTTATTACCTTTCCCAGTGGACCTTAGTATTGACGAGTTTATCGCTGATTCAAAGTATTTACCTAACTTGGCTAAATATAATATTTGTACAAGGAGTAAATATTATGGAAAAATCTCACATTTTAAATTTCCGCGTTGACGAAGCATAAACAATAAAATGATCCCGCTAAGTTGAGCTCTGAAAATCATAATAGAATTACATTGTTGCCGGTTTACCACAGTGCAATACGCAAGATGAGTCACCATCAATTAAAAATTGTTCGAAAGAAAGATACAAATATTAGGAGAAAGAAACTGTAGCTGTCTGCATAATAAAATTCAAGTTACTTCTGACTAAATTGGACCAATCTTGATAATTTCACTGACCTTTCACTAATTAAGTTTATGTCGAATCTATGTGGTATTTGTTCTAAAATAATTTTCGCTGTACTGGATGTGGCGTCTTCTTGACTACCTCCACCGGCGCCCGCAATTTTCGGTTGAAGTTTTAACAGTGTAGATAAACATAAGAATGTTTTCGATTGAGCAAATGTTATGTCAGCATTGGCATGCAGACCAAAGATATCGGGGTCATCATTGATTGGTAGCGATTTTATATAATCCAAGTAATCGTTGAATATAATCTCCACACGTAGCTGAAAATTTATTTAATTTTATTTTTGTGCATAATAATTTTCATTTAAATAATAAATATGATCGTTAAAAGGGAAGAGCCGGTTGTATACTAGAAATACATATCTCTAAGCTGAGAGGGTAAGTTGCCCCACACCACTTAAGCCTCACTAGGACAAGTGTGCATCCTCCTCGTTTAGCTCGTCGGCCAGCTTTTTTATTTATTTATTTTTAACATCTTTCGGACCCCCGTGGTATCACCCTAATTCGTTTGTAGCGTGGCGGAATGGCTGCCAGCGGCTTATTGTACCACCATTTGAAGGTCCTACTACTTTTCCATTGACCAATTCACTAACTCATTCACCGTCATTCGATGTCAACACTCGCCGAACAAAAATATCCTATTGGATGTTATTGGTCCAATGGAAGGGCCAGGTCCAAAAAGTATTTGGTTGGGTGCCTTTTTGGTTAGGATCGGCAAGACAGATAGTTTTCGATGTAGCGTGGCCTTTAATTCTTCTTAAGATGACCACATTGTTGATGGCGGATACTTCAGTTGAATAAATTGATGGTCTGTCCAGAGTGATTAGTGCTATCTGTACTTTGGTGGTAAATGATCGTATCTCCATTTTTTCATTAAATGGAGATAATGCATGGACTAAACTATTTTTTAGTGGTAAAAAATCGTATGTCTATTATTATTATTATGTTCTGATATACTACGTTTAGAAACGATAGTGTATCCACTTCTCAAAGAGGTAAAAAATCGTATATCCAACATGCGATTATGCGCAGTCAAGTTTTCATAAATACCAAGTTGGTAAACAATCGCAACTCCATAGTTCAAGTTGGCGGTTAAATAGAGTGCCACAAAATGTCAAGAAGAGGACCCAAAATGTCGTAAAAAATACTAAATCTTATAAGATATCTTAGTAATAACCCCTCTGGTATCCCTAATATGCGAGGTAAATAGGAAATTATTTTAATAGCAATATTTTTTAAATAATAACAACAAAGTTAGGTTAGGATAAAAAATATTGTTTAAAGAATACAATATCGCTAAAATTGTTTATTAAATGATAAATTATGACATTTTGCAGTGTATTAGGATAGTTTTAAATGATCCATTTCTAATTGTTTCTTCCTAACTTTCCTTTACCTATTATTATTGGAGATACTACTGTTTACCATTGAGTTTTATTTAAATTTTTAGAAATGCATAACGTCTCGTCAATCAATGATAGGGATATTATTCGAGTAAATGCATTGGAAGAATCAGTGATAGGTAATTAGAAATAGTTTAGATCAAATTGTAAGGTGTAATCAATAGGTGTAATATTAATAATTAGTAATCAGATAATAATAATTATTATTAATATTATCCTAGTCACATCATTAAAGAAACTATACCTAGGTTCCTCCTGTTTTTACTCTTTTTATTTTTCAGCAATTCAGGAAAATAGCAATAAATTCGAAGAATCAGTCCACCAAGAAGAACGAATAATACTAATAGTTGAGAGAAACCATGTTGATAATGAACTTAATCCGATTTTCATTGCCACAAGCCAAGAGGAAAGTATCACAGATGAAGTAACAAACAACATCATGGAAAATAGGTCATACAATTATCAGAGAGAAGAGGAGAGTAAATGGAAAATGAACCTGAACCGTTAAGAGATGCTGATGAAAACAAGACCAATTTTATTCAAACAAGCGAAAAGGAAAATGATACCACAGATGAAGAGACTAAGGTCATGACACAAAATGAGATAGATAATGATCAGCGAGAAGACGAGAATGCCATAGAAAGTGAATCAGTTACAGACCAAGAAAACTATGTTGATACTGAACCTGAACCGTTTGGGGATAATATTGATGATGATCCTGAATTTATTCCCACGAGCGAAGACGAAAGTGACAGAGATGAAGAGACAAACAACATGGAAAATGAGACTGATAATGATCAGAGAGAAGAGGAGAATGTTGATACAGAAACTGAGCCAGTTATAGAACAAGGAAAACCTAGAAAGCGGATAAGAAACGAAGCGGGTTGGGAGGTAACGAAAAGACAGAAAGCAACGTTGGCTGGAAAAGAACATGTTTCCAAACTGGGAAAAAATATTAGTGCAAAAAAGATAAGACGCGGTTGTGGCCCATGTAGAAAAAAATGTACCGATAAAATTAACGAGTTGAATCGTGAACAAATATTCAACAACTATTTGTGCTTTCCAGAATAAAAAGTTCTCCAATCAAACGGAAGAGGCCGTCAACTGGCACAAGAACGAACAGAGAAAACAGACAATACGTTATAACTTTGAAGTTGATAGAAAAGTTATCAATGTCTGCAAAGTTTTTTTTTGAATACATTAGGGATATCCGAGACAGTGGTTAGAAACGCATTGAAAAAATCAGAAAGAGGAGGCTTTGTTTCACAAGACATGCGCGGGAGACACGAACCAAAGAATAAGTTGCCTGAAGTTATTAAGGAAGGGATTCGCACTCATATTCGGTCTTTTCCAGTTTATGAAACCTACTATAGTCGTAAAAAAATTAAGAAAAGGAAGTACTTGGAAAGCGAACTTAATACAAATAAGTCTGTACAAACTCAAATGTCAGAAAGAAGGTCTTCCAAAGAGTCAGATTGCTAAACCTTAGGTATATCGCCATATCTTCAATACAGAGTATAATTTAGGATTTAAACTAACCTCGAATGACACTTGTGATATGTGCGATAGTTTGAAAATAGCATTAAAAGATAGTCCCTCAGTAGAAGAACGAGCAACCATTCAAGAAAAAATTGATTGTCACCAGGGCCGCTGAGAGCCAGGCCGGGCCCCAGGACAATTCTCTAGATCGGGCCCCAAAAAACTATTCTCCCTACTTCAAAAAGGTCCTTACATCAAAAAGCTATTCTCCCTACCTCAATTGTTTGTCCTTCTAAAAAAAAAGTTCCTCACATCAAAAGGCTATTCTCCCTACCTCAATTGCTTCTTCTAAAAAAAAAAAGTCAGCCGAAACTTAACTTTCTACTCTCATCTTGTGTCGAATTTCTCATGCAGAACAGAAAATGCTGTTGTCGGGTCCCCCTTACAGCGCTACCGGGCCCCCATTTAAGCCCGGGCCCCGGGAATTAGTCCCGGCTACTCCCCCCTCTAGTCGGCCCTGATTGTCACCTAAAAGATGCTGAAATTCGCTATAGCTGGAAGAAACAAGATAAAGTAGCGACGGAAGAAAAAAACTAAGGTTATCAGATTTACAAAAGTGCTTACCAACTCCCCATCTAACCAACGCTAAAAGTTTTTATTCACTGAAGCTTTGAACCTTAAATTTAACTATATATGACGCCACAGAAAAAAAGCTTAGTGCATGGTTTGGGATGAATCTGTTGCTGGAAGAGGGGGACATGAAATTGCATCGGCTTTGCTGAAATGGACCAACGAAGTTGTGAAAGACTGTGACACAGAGACATTGATAATTTGGTCTGACAATTGCCCAAGCCAAAATCGAAATATCATGATGGCTGTAAACTATTTTTATCTTTTGAATAGTTGTCCCTCCTTGAAATCAGTAATACATAAGTTTCTTCTCAGGGGTCATACTCATATGGAAGCAGACCATATTCACGCTCTGATTGAGCGGACCGTAAAAAAGCAGCCAGCAATGACGATAGCTACACCTTGGGATTGGCAATAGTTGATTAGATCAACTGGGGCTACAGTTTGGAACATGGAAGTAACTGATTTCAAATTTTTTTATCTTTTGTACACATCTTCAAATGCCCCATTTGTTAATCGAAAAATCAATACAGAAAAAGAAAACTTTCCTATTTCATCAGCAGTATGGCTAGAAGTACGTCGTCAAAGTTCAGGTCTGCTTTATTATAAAACAGACTTTACCGATAACGAATTTAAAAGTGTTGATTTGAATAGATTTTCCAGAAAAAAAATTCTATTCCACATGAGTTGCCTGCAATTCGGAAAATTTCCAAAGGTATAAGCGCTAAAAAACATCAACATCTTTTGAATTTATTTGAGTGGATACCTTCTCAATTTCATGACTTTTATAAAAACATGAGAATAACCGATCAGGAAGTTAGAGAATCTGATACAGACTGAATTATAATCATTAAAACCTTTTCTCGTAATATTTCCTATATTTTTTTGGAGTTGAGGCTTAAGTTTTTTAACATTTACCTATTTTTTTATTCAGTGGTAAAGAATCGCAAGTGCCACTAATTCTAACCAGGTAGATAATTTTATTGGCATTTGTAAGGTAAAATATGTCGATTGACTTACTTGAATAAATACTTAAAAATAAACTGTTGTATTTTATTAATTTCTATAAAAAAAATAATTATATTTTAAAACTTTAAACCTCATTATCTCTAAATCTATAAAATTGGATATACGATTCTTTACCTCTGTAGTACAGATATATGAGCATGTATTATGCAGTGATATTGTTTCTGGTAATTTCTTTAACTGTTAGGAGAATTCTCGTGAGCTCATTATGAATTATACTGGCACTCCTGCTCAGAGCCCATTTTATCTTTGGAGATCTGGAATATATTCCATATCCTAGCCTTGTTTTGTTTTGGAATCATCGGTGTTTTAGATAAAAGCCGTACGTACGAACCAATAAATATCCCTTATTTTTATTTAATGGCACGAATGAAGGATGGTTCCATTGTCCTCCAAGAAGCCGTGTTGTCGTCTACTTCAAGAAAATAATATAAGTTAGCGAACACCTACCTGTTTATATATTCCTTTACTGTCAAACTTAAAAGTTGGGTCCATTACTTCCGGTTTATAGTAATCGGCCAAAATATTCATCAGACATCTTCGATCCCAATCATCAGTTACCCTGCCCCCATAATTTATTTGACCAGCTGTATACGACAGCACCTTAAATACAATAATTATGAATAAAATAATTATTTTTTTGCATAGTAGTTAAAAAAAAGATTTTGGATACATGGTCTTTTGACAGATCCTCTATAATCAGGTTGTATTTAATGGGAAAATACACACTTTAAAAGGTACTTCGGTGTATTCTACCAGGAACATGTGTAGCTGAGAAATACAGATTTTCAAGTCACCATCTGTAAAGTCGTATGGTATGTTAAAGCCTAAAGGTCCAAATTTTCTTCGTTCAATAACTATTCCATGAAAGAGGCAAAGAGCGAATACTAAAAACCTGTAACAATAGAAACTGGTGGTGAAATATCTCAAAAAGAATAATTACTTGTGTTAATAAAGGTAAAACAAGAATAGGTTGAAAAATTAACGAGAAGAGGACTAGGTTGTGCGGTATATCTAGTGTAGTACCACAAATTGTAATTAGATTAGGCAATGATTGAATTAGGTGAGATCTGCTTAAAGTATCTCCAATCGGGCGAATCGGATGAATTCAAAGCGGAACAGGTATATATAATGTGCTCTGTAACTTCGTCTTCCACACTGCAGAATCGATAGTCCGATGTTTGTTATGAACGAATCCTTCTCATGTTCTCATGCGGTCCTAGACGACAATGTCCTGTCATTAGTCTGTGAAATTGCGTAGATCTTTACTATTCATGGAAGAGTTAGTTATAAACGCCTTCGAATAAGTTAGCCCTGGGGTATCTCTCCAGTTCGTGAATATTGCATCCTCCGTTTATTTTGAGATAATTTCTTTGGAAATGCTTCTTACAATATCCAGGAATGGAAATGGTCATATGAATTATTCAGATTCGATTCCACTTTTAACGAGCGCATTGGCTTTTTCATTGCCCACCTAACTGTGTTCCGGATTCCTAGACACTAGGGTATTTATACAGTTTCAAACCAGCTCTGAATCAACTCGATTGGAGCTCAGGGATTTGTGGGCTGCCTGGCTATCCGAAAAAATATTTATAGTAACAGGAAGAAAATGAATCAACTCTTTCGCTTCCAATTCTATAGCAATCATTTCTGCTTGGAAGATCGTGGCCAGAAAACCCAGGTTTATTGATATGTCAACTTCTGGCTTCTGGCCGAAAACTTCTGTTCCTACTCCTTTTTCACCTTGACAAAAATGTGAATTTTAAGTAATCTATTAGCTCTTTTCACATTTTGTGGTACCTCTATGCCACAGAAAATTTGGGACACTCTGTACATTTTTAAAAGCTACGAGCACAAAATAAAAAAAATATTATTAGGGTACTGTACTGGTAGACCTACCAAAGAACTTTGTTCAAATAAATATAATTTACCTATAAGACGGCGATTTTGGATGTTCAGATTGGATAAACTCTATATATTCCGATACTTGGTTTCGATATGATCGCATCAAATTTGCCTTTAGACCTGACGGAGGTTCGATGGTCATTTTGGTTCCATTTTGTAAGATTGACACTGGAAAATGGGGAGACGGGGTTGAAGTAAGCCATACTCTAAAATCTCTGTGACAATCATCTGGAGATATACTTTCCATTGTACGTTCTAGTCTTGGCATCCAACTTGGAGCCAAGTGACAATTCTACAAATATAGTCCAAGATAAATATTACGTTTTCATTTCTATTCGCACTATGGTATTAGGCTTCAAAAACGTTAAACAACTCCTGTTATATTTGGTAGTCCAAAAACTAAATATAACCATAGAAAGTAACGGTACACAACTAGAAAGAGGTATTTTGTTATAAATTTTATTTTCTTTTGTGAATTTTTGTTCTTATAGCTTATTAAAAAGTTTATTTAATTATTTTAAAACATCTGTAATTTCTATTTTGTAATTTTTATCAAATTCTTTTCTTTTAAAAATAAAAATAATGAATCGGTTAGGTTACCTGGAAGAAAACCCAAGATCCAATTTCAACACCGCTGTGCAACATCTTCTCAGCCCTAGGACCTTGTCCTTGACCTAAAGATATTGAAAACATCCTCTTTGTCATTCTCATGCGATCAGCGAACTTATATAATTCAGCTGCTGGATCTGTACCAGTAGACAAGACGAAAATCAGAGGAATGGTCGGACCTGATGGAAGAAATAAATGATAACGAAAAATACGACAAAAGTCAAACAATCATTTATTAAACGGTGGTACTATCACTAACAGCAACATCTAAAAATAGCAAAGGAAATTAAATATCTTGGAATAACCCTATATAATCTAGTTAGACCAAATACTTTGATTTTCTTTTACTATACGGAAAATGGTCGCACTGCGCAGCTTTCTGAGTGCCTTTTAAAAGGAGATAGAAAACTCCGCCATTTTGATGCCTTATTTTTAATAGGTGCATTTTAATCATCCGCTTCTGCTTCGGAATTGTCGGTTTTCTTGTTTTAATCTGACAGGTTAAAACGACTAAACCGACAATTCCGGAAGCAAAAGCGGATGATTAAAACGCACCTGATATTTTGCTTGCTGCTGTCAGTGTCAGAGAATATTATTTTTGGAGTCACAGTTTATTGCTAAAGAATCAGTTAGCTCACTTGGACCAGTTGAAAGTTCCAAAATAACATCCACTCCAGGGATACAAATTCAGGATGCGCAAAAGACTGCTGTTTTGTTATAGGCGGTTGTCATATATTGTATTATCCGAGTTGCGCAGTGTATAAACGAGAACATTGAGATCAAAAGTGCCGATGCAGAGTGAGCGAACTGATTCTTTAGCTATGAACTGTGGTAAAGGCATCAAAATGGCCGCGCCCTATGTTGGGCGTGTCGGACCTCTCTCTTGCGCCATATAGTAATCAAAGTATGTGTTCTGCAGCCATATAGAAAAAACAACAGGAAAAGCTGCGTGGACTTATAGATGGATGGTAGGCTTAAACCAAGTTTAGTGGAAACAGAAGGTGGAAAGGCTTTTCGCAGTTGTCACACTCTATACACAGACATAGGGGTGGATGGGACCCCTCAGACCGGCGCGGGAAATCAATTAAAATGGCACTGCGCCGGTCCAGCAAAAAAATTAAAAAGCATTTATTTCTATATTTTTTTAAAATAAATTAACCACAAATTATTTTACAATAATAAATAATAATAAATAAAAAACAGGTAAAAAAAATAAGCTCCAATAATTATTATTATTACATATAAACATAAATAAAAAGGAACTCTTAATTTTGTTAACACAAATATCACGTAAATAAAGAAAGAAACTCTTAATCGAATGACGTTTTCCATTGGCACTGGCAGTACGCACTAAATATATTTGTGTCCTTGTTTATGGATATCAAAAGAAAAAGAAAGAATATAAGAATATACTCAGATCGCACTGAATATTCCACTGGAAAATGCTATAAAGTTTTGCAGTCAAAATAATAGTTTCTTTTAGAATTAAATATTGTTTTTTTTTCATAAACGGTCAATGACGTTGTCATTTTCTATTGTATTTAATATGTCGTTTTGTGTATGTCGTCGGTTTTGACTGAGAGTACTCCTTAGCCTGTTTTTCGGAGGCTAGAGGCTATAAGCTGCTTCTGATATTAGAATTGTCAGCAAATGTTTACATGCTAACTTGGGTAAGCCTCTTTTTACATTTTATATTGTTACGCAGGTTTTTGGTATCGCAATTTATTTGAACTCAACTTTTACAACAACTATTCAACTGATAACATTAACATGTAACGTCTATCATAAAACTGAAAACTGACGTCAGGATCATCCTTATATAGCTTGCTTGACCCTTCTCGAACTGTCGTCTAGAATATTCTTGACAGGTAATGACATTTCTGGACTATTCTATCTTCTTTTACTCGTACTTTTACTTATGACGACCGCAGCACACTGTAGGGCGATGAATAATATTCCACTTCTTTTTCTATCTGTACGTTTCCTATAATAGCCGCAGGCTACTGTAGGGTGCTGCGTAAGAATATTTACAAATGATGGAATAGCAGCACAGTGAGCAATTTCTGCAACTCTTGCATTACATATTGTTTTCTTTACCACCGTCGTCCTATTGATTACTGGTTGATTCCTATAAGTGACATTTTTGTACTCGGACAATTATGACTGCTGATGAGCGAAAATTCTAGTACACTTTCACTGCTAACAAACATATTCGTAGGTAAAGTTGAGAAAATGTTTGGATACAATCATATTTTGTTACAAAAATTGACAATATAAATGGCATTACGTTTATTTCCATAGCATGCTAAAAAACGCGACATATTTTTTGAAATTTTGTATAATATGTTGCCGACATTTAGGGGCATCACTCTTTTAATCCAAAATGTATCTCGCTAATGCTAAAAGTTTTTATGTTTTTTAAATTACTAAATTTATGTAAATAGACCACATAAAGTCTTACGTAGATAAAAATTTGATTGCAATTTGATTAAATCAAGAAATTTAAGTTTTCTTATCAAAATGCAAGTGTATGTTTACTTACATGGGCGCAGAAAAACGTACATAAACAACATATATTTTATATTGCAACATTCTCTCGTCACCCATTTTTTCTACTTAATTATTCCTGCAATCCTGGAATAATAAATAGAGGCAGAGGTCAGAGTCATACGAACGAGGAGATATAAGGTATCTCGTATCTCTGCGTTCGTCATAACTGGAACAATGCAACGTGACATGGAACATTACGTTTTTGTGGGTATGGGCACTTTCGTCATGTGCCTATATTTATGATTTACAGACAATAATAAGTCAAAAATGAGAAAGATACAGATTTAAACAATCTAAATCCGCCAAAAGCCGGGACAATAAGGAAATATAAGACGAGACGATTCGAAGATGCAAAACAGCACAGGAGCTGGCATTTACCAAGGGAGAACTGTTAGTCTAAACCTAGAATCACTGGTTTAACAGTCTTCCAGGCTGAAGTAACATCAATTAAAAGTGCAAAATGACTAAAGAGGTAAAAAAATAAGACGCAGATAGCATTATTGAAATGTTTAAAAAACCAATTGAAAAAAAAAAAAAATACAAAATGAATACTTATTCAATCCATTCTCCAGACTTAGTCCCGTGCCACTATTACATATACTCGGATTTGTATATCAATAAAAAACAATTTTTTAAATAAATTCACTATTTACCAGAGTCTTTATACATAGCTGACAAATCAGATGATTGAGGTTCGATAAATTGTTGGCCAATCTTGAGTGCCAGATAATCTTGCATGGCATTGGTAACCTTATCGGGTCTTAAACTTTTTAGGACTATCAGTTTCTGAAAGTCGTCCAAAACAGTGTCTATGTCTTCAGGTAGACGTTCCCTAAAAAAAACTTAGATTGTAATGAATAATCGCATTGGATTTATGCAATTTATGCAAACTGTAATACAATGAAAAAACAAGGGCGGCTCCAAGACGAATTTTCGGGAGGGGGACATTGCCTTTAGATATTCCCTTTCTAGCATATTTTTTTGAATAAAAGGCTCATAAATTATAAGAATTTTCATCTGGGGGGGGGGACAGGGGGCAGATGGCAGATGGGGCATGGCCCCTATAGCCCTCATGGAGCCACCTTTGTGTAAAAACAGAAATTGTTGGAGATACAATCTGATATGAACAACAGTACGTATACCTGTGGGGTTCCATGCTTTCAAAAATGGCCTTGTATTGTTCTATATATTTAGGAAAAGTATTCACAACAATTCGAAGTGATTTTAACGAGTATAAAGATAATATTTCATTCCAAGCTCTAATCGACAACCAACTTGGTGCAGGGTTTGGAAGATCCTGTAATAAATATAGAACACATATTTTGTAAGTATTAGCAGAGGAGAAAAATTACAGACCATATAGGATTTCTGTAATATAAATCTATTTTTGGATTTGTAAAAATATTAAAAAGTGATATGTTTTTTATTTGACTATAAATAGAGAATATGCTCCTGTAAGTAAAGTTTCAATCCAACGTTTGATGTTTGAAAGACCACCATTAAGATTAATATTTAAATACGGACCTGTATCTTTTATTTAATTTTCTGAAGGTAATCCACCCATATTCACATTTTAAGACGTTTTGATAGTTAAAAATTATTATCAAGAACATTTTGAGTTCCGATCTATTTACTTAATTTTTATTTGCAAAAATAAACAATAGAGACATATAATAATGAAAATAAATTGCAATACAATTTACTTTTAAAATTCTTAGGTGAATTATAAAAACAGTTTAATAACAACACAAGAAACATTTTTAAATGTAATACATATTTGAATTCTGCAATAAATGTTTAATGTGTCATGTTTATGACATAAATTGCTTCCCCTTAATAGTTGCCTGGCTTGTTGGTTAAGCAATCTGACAGGCGTAATATTTTGGAAGGCCTTTATCATTTTTGTTCTTACTTTTTCTAATTTTTTTTAAGTCCGGGTCAGGCTTTAACACTCACAAATCCCAAAAGCAATTAAAATTTTAATTTTGGGAATGATTAAATTAAATCGAGTTGAACAATCAAACATTATTTTACACGCATTAAGTCAATGAAATTATATAGCTTAATTTAAGTAACCCAACAAAAAGTAATCTAAAGGACTTAGATCTCGCAGGCCATTTTATTATTCTATAGGAACACAATCAGTTTTTTTTAAAGGTTTCATTTATATATTGCCTTAATAGCATTATGTGGTTCACAACTATCTTGCATGAAATATCTAATATTTATTTAAATATTTAGGTATTCACGAACCTACTTGTTCTAACAAAATTTACTGCATTCAAATTACTATCACTACATGCCCTGTGGAGTGGGCGAATAGAATGGCTTCACTCGAACGTTTACCATCGGGGTAGTAGACGTCCACCAAATTGCCACTTTCCAAATATGGAGCATCTAGAGACACTTCTCGGCGACTTTATTAACCTGCAGGATTTTGATCTGGCAAGTTGGCTATCCCTAGACACCCCTAGATACCCCCAGCGACAACCAGCAAGTTTTTGATGATTTGGTCACCTGCAGGACTTGGATGAAGATAACTGTCTCTAGACAACTCTTAGCGGCAACCAGCAGGGTTTGACAGGTTCTATATATGATACTATTAAAAGAAGATATGATATTACGCAGATTGATACTATACGCCACGGCGACGTATTGTGATGGAAGGCGTGGCTTTTACGAATTTAACGAATCAGCTGATCGAAAACAGCGAGCGAAAATAATTTCAATCTGCTCATAGATAATCATATTCCACACCACAATACGTCATATGCGAACTCGACGAGATTTCGTCTGATGAGTATCTTACCTGTGTAATTATTTGCATCATGGGTTCTATATACCCCTGGAGGATGCACAATGGGCACTATAAAACGTAAGTGCTGTGAAGTAAATCATCCTCTTCCACCTTACCGATACATATACTATCAGTACCTTAACCAACCCATCAAATAAAATATAAATGAGATGTTTAATTGAATCGGTCATTTTGAAAAAGGGTCACATCCACTTTTTTGACATTTTCAATTTTTGGTGATTTTACATTCAACATGTCTAGAAGCATCCATTCAAGATAAAAACGGGTTGTCTTTCAAAATTTTTACTGCCTATTCACACCACACAAAAATCAGTTCATATAGAAAACGGGTTATCTCCTGGAGATATAACCCCTTCTCAAAATGAATCATGTTTTGTTCCCACCGCCAACGTTTTATTAAGTATTATGGATATTTTGCGGTTGGCGGGTCGAATAATACAATCTATCCAGTAATCGTTTAGACCACAAAGGCGAAGGACACAAAGGCCTTGACGATGATTGTGGCAGGGATTTTGGCAAAGTAAAAAGAAAAATTCGTCGCCTCGACCGGATTTTCTCTGTAGGAGAACATGAAGAATATGAAGTCTTGGCAAACAGTTCCAAAAGAAGAGAAGGTTAATTTCACTATCAACTCCTTCTATAAATTCAGCTTTAACTCGGAAAATTTGGGTGTCGTCTTTGCCCAACCATACATTGGCAGCCTTGTTGAAGAACTTTATCTTCTTTTGAAAACTCTACAAAGAAGCCATTCCGACAATAGTGGTGCCCAATTCTCAGAATTTTCCTGCCTATCAAGGCAAAATTTCGATAAATGATAAGAAAATTGAGGATATAAAGAAGCTTCAGCAATATATTCCAGATAAATACAAGGAATTTTACAGCACTATCTACGAATAGCCCACTACCATCGCTGAAGATCTTGTTTTTTGTATTAAAATGTATTTTATACCACTTTGTTGTTTAAAATAAACAATATTTATATTCTATTTTGATTTTAAATACTTATTCATTTTGAAAACGGGCCATCTCTTTTTCAAAATTTTTAACCACTTTTAAAATACAAATTATACGTTTTAATAATTCATGTTAATAAAAGTTAATGTTTAAAGCAAACAATACCATACAAAAGATTATTTTCAAATAGAATTGAAGATAAAAGGTTTTTTATCTCTCCTGTAAAATTTAAGAAAGTGGATGTGACCCCTTTTCAAAATGACCGATTCAATTATATTCAGACGTGAGCGGCATAAAGAGATTGACTCGCGATTCGTCTCTCTGCCTGCCGTCACTGGATGCACGGTTACCATTAATTAGGATAACGTGATATACAGGGTGGGCCACTAGTAACGCCTTGGTCTGTGGAGCCTAAACAATTTGATTTTTTAAAATCTGTTTTCACAGTAAGATGTATATCAGAAATGACAACAATTTAAAAATAATTTCAATAATACAGGGTTTCCCCAGAAAGTCACATATCAAAGTTTGTTTTTTTAAAATGGGATACCCTGTATTTTATTTTATATTTAAATTGCGCTCGCTTTTCTACTTATAACAATACCAAATAGTATGAGATTATACAGGGTATTTCACACGCTACAACCAATTTTATATGAAAATCGTATTGATTTTAATGACCTGTATAGTGCAAAAGAAACAATTAAAAACCAATTTTTTTTACGGTAAAAAGGTTAACAAAATATGTCGAGATTGTTCGCTTCACATAAAAATTATGTTGCTCTTTTTTTGCAAAGAAAAAACATTATTAAATAACTCACTTCAAGATTAAAGCCAATTACACAAGTTCCAGAAATGGGAGATTTACCTCAATATAGAGTCAACCAATATCGTCCATTTTTAAAGGTAGGCATTATGGTAGGATTATGCAGGTCCAGTTTCAATTCGAGAAAGTCGTAGACGTGGAAGAGTTAATACATACTTGTGCTATATAGTAATATTTGTTTGCCTATCCAGTTCACATGGAACTTGTTTCTGCCTAACAACTGAAGCATTTTTGTCATCTCTAAAACGTTTTATGCTCGGCGTGAAAAATGGACAGATATTTTTTCTGACAATGCTACCAATTTCGTCAAGGCTAATAAAACTTTAAAAGAACTAAGCCTTCTGTCTTCAAAACAACATTGGAGTAAAATTTTAGATTATTCATCAAATAACACCATGACTTGGCATTTTATTCCACCAAGATCACCAACGTTTGGGGGATTGTGGGAGGCGACCGAAAAGTCCTTAAAGCATCATTTAAGACGAATCACAGCAAATGCAGTTTTCACTTATGAAGAGTATCTCACATTTTTAATTCAATCAGAAGGGATCTTAAACTCCAGGCCATTCACTTCTTTGTCCGAGAATCCTAACGATTTTCAAGTTCTTACTCCAGCACATTTCCAAAATTCAATTCCATATAATCTTCAATAGAACTCAACTAGAGCGTAATATACTCGTCTACTTTTAGCTGGTTTAAAACCTATTTCTTTTGTCACAGTTCTTACTGCAAAACATCCAGAAGAAAGTTTTTTGTTTAGTAATTCTATATGGTTCTTGCATTTCTAATTTTTGTCTAAATTAATGTCTAGAAGTTTTATTAATGTATTTAACGTCGACCTATTTCTAAATACGAGGTTTAAACATCGACGCTGGTAAACACGCTACTGCCAAATACCAGAGGCAGAGGATAACTGTCTTTTTTGGTAACATTTTTCAACTGACGGTAATCCACATATAACCTCGTAGTTCCATCCTTTTTATGTACCAGGACTAACGAAGAGACCTATGGGCTCTCTTCATCCATTTCCCGAACAATTCTTTCAGCTTCCTCTCTCTCGGCCTTTGGTAATCTACGAGCTGATTCACAAATCGGCCTGGCATTACCAGTATCAATTTTGTGTTTTTTTACAACATAAGTTATTCTTGTTTTTCCTCCTTTTGGTACGACGATATCGTCGAAAACATTTCTTTATTTTCTTTTTCTCTAACTGATTCAGAGATTGACCAGCAACTGCAATCATTTGCTCGAATTTGTAGTTGGAAATATAAGAAATTGTTGTTTGACGAATTATGTAAGTTTATGTTTATGAGACGGATAAAAATTTCTTTAGCAGTCGTGACCAACCCCTTTCCGATCAGAATTCCTTATCCAACCTCTTCATCGTGGTTCTAAGGTTCCATTAAGACAGGTGTTCCATCTTCCATAGTTTCTTGATGGTTTCACTTCTACCAGAAACCACCGTATCTTCCTGTACAGCAACTAGCCCGGTACTGTCGTCCTATGGATATAGGAATAACTCTTTGGCACCAACTTTGATCACTCTGTTTTTAAAATCCAACTGGAAACAATGTAAATTCATTACATCCATTCCAAGTATAACATCTTCTTCGATATCAGTGACAATAACAGTGTAAGTGAACTTTTCTGTACCAATTCCTAATTGAACCTGGAGCTCCCCATGGATGTTGGCACTTTCACCTTTGACAGTACGCAGTGGCAATCTTTTTGGTAGAAGTCTCTTACGGTTATTTATGGTTGCTGGTCGTCGTTGCTCCAGTATCCATCAACAGTGTATACTTTTCACCATTTACTTTGCCGTCTACGTATACACTATCATCGCAAAATTTCAAAGAGGCTATCAGTTCGAGAGGGTCTTTGGAATGGTTTCGGGTCGAAGCTGTCCCCTCTGGGCCGACCCGCTCTAGTTTTCCTGCGGCGTGTTGTCTTAATTTGTTGGAACCCTAGGGCGTTTGCACGACCTGCGTACATGTTCCAATTCACCTCAACCAGTTGGTCGAGTTTTTCTTCTACGTTTCCTTCTTTTACAGACCTTACTTTACTGTATTCTCCAGAAGCCTACGTAGCTGCCTTATACTTTAGAGCAACGGACAAGACATCGAATATGTTTTGTGACAGGCTAAGCGGAGTGTTTGCTGCATCTCGTAGTCACGAAGTCCATCAACAAATGTTTGAACTGCCAAACATTCCATCATGTTTTCTGAACCTGATGGGTAAGCAAACCGTACCAATCTGGCAATATCTACTTCATACTCTTGAAAAGTCTCGTTTCTGCGATTCTTTAACTGTGGCTGGTATAAATGCTTTAAGTGTTCGTGGCCATATCGCATGTTTATTCTCTTTTTAAGTTGTTCAAAGTCATCGGTCTCTTTCACGGGTATGATCTGAAGGACATCTAAATCGTCTCCTCGAAGGGCGATGGTTAAATTTACTCCCTTTTCTCGTTCAAACCATGAAATGCTTACGGTAATTGTTCCATGAGATCTTCATGACGAAAGTTGGGCTGTATCACGAGCAGAGTTTACAGTTCCTTCCAATTTCAACTTCGACTCTATCTCATGGCACTTTATTTCACCGTCCTTGGCCGGTTCTGTATGTACCAGTTCTACTATCTTCTTTTCAATCTCTTTTATTTTCTCCTTAACAGACGACATTATTTTATTCTCGATTTCAGACACCTTTTCTTCTACGAAAGTAATAGAAAAATTTATTTTCCATAGAAGACATTTTGCTTTCCAAATCGGAAGAAATTTCATCTTTTAAAGAAGAGATATCAAAAGCAACTTTAGTTTTTAAAGGGGAAATTTCGTTTTTCACGGAAGACATATCTGACGAAAATTTACTTTCTAACGAAGTAATATCATTTATAAAGGAAACATCAGAAGAAATATCGGTTTTGTAAAGAAGACATTTGATTTTCTAACGAAGAAATTGAAGAAATTATAGAAGACGCAGCATCCGAAAATAGATACGTTTCCAAATCCAAACCTTAATTTTTTAGTGCTTCTTTAAGTCGTTCTGCCAGCTGATTTCTTCCCTGTCGTCTCCAGTTCACGTTCTTCTAACTAACGACGTAACTCAGCTACTTTTAAATCACACAGTTTTTTAGCCATTTTTGTCCACTATTTATTTACAGTTCCACTTCTAACACCAATGTAAAGATTGTTGAATTTAAAAATAGTTTATTTATTAAAAACAGTTTCTTTATAATTTATTTATAACGTACTAATAAATTTATTTAAAACTTAGGCACTATTATAACTCACAATTTTAATTTTTTTATAATAATTTATCTATACAACACTTCTATTGAATCTCAACGTCTATGGACACACTTGCGCTATTTATATAAAGCTAGCTCTGCACCAGTCCATTCTCGACCGCAGCGCAACGATTTCTCTGGTAGCTTCTCGAAGCAGTGCGTTTGTCTCTATCCTGCGGCATCGAAACAGACAAAGCGACAGCTGTAAAGGCAAAGGGTCAGAGTCGGCTTAAGGTGGTTCACGATAATATAGGTCCGTATTAAAAAAAAAAATTCTTTATAGTGCCCCTTTAGACATGAAAGGTTGGATTGAAACTTTATTCATAAAAACGTAGGCTCTAAGTAGAGTAAAATAAAAAAAAAACTATATTCAATTTTTTACTATTTTTGAAAATAAAGGCATGAGAGGAACAAATAAATCGATCTAGTTTTCCTCAAATATCTTAGAAGCCGAACCTGATATCTTGAATTTAAAAAAATCAGTAATATGGTCTCAGTGTTAATAAATCACAATAGTGTGCATTTAAATTTTTTACACCCGGAATGGCCATTTACAACAATTTTATAAGAAAAAAAAAAAACAAGAAAATTTGTGGTTTTTGAAAATTGTGCATTTTTACTTTCATTTTATCATATTTTTAAAACTATGGAGATATAGCTATCGACATAAGTTTTTTTAATGAAGTACTAATGTGGTCGTGTTTGTTACTAATATTTACTAATTAATTTAAATATATGTATTAAAATTTTTACTTAGCGACAAGTGTTTTTTAAAATAAATTTATATATATTATACCTTAGTTGGTAATCCGCCTGCCAAAAAATGTTGCCATTCCTGGAGGTTTATCTCACCTACGTCCGTTAAAATTCTGATGCATAACAAAAATGCAAAATGTAATTTATTTTTTTCAAATAAACTTCTGCATACGTTCGTGTACAGATTGAACGTGAAATAATTATTTATTATATTAACTCTTTCTTCGATTACCTCTGAAATTAAAAGGTGTTTTAGATTATTATTAATTTAACATTTTATTAATTCTGGTGCCCTATTCTCGAATGTCTATTAAAAATGTCGCCATTCGTCATAATATCTACTACTAATGTCTAACAAAATAGATATATAACCAAGACAGATGATTATTTATAAAATTTCTGAAGCCTCAACGTTGGCGTCCGTGGCAGAAATACACTAATCTGATTGAACATCGATGCCAAGTTTACGGTGTTTTTAACAGTAATAATGTAAATACATTTGCTTGCAATACTGTTTGTCTTTAAATCATCGGAAGAAATGTTATGTCTGGCAACAGCGAATTTACATTTGACGTTATTTATAGAGAGAGTTGTAAACTTATTTCATTCGTGAAAGTGCTTTGTGTTTGGTTGGTTGCAGCTATTTCTTTTGTGAAAACTTTTTTTTTCTTAGTTTGATTGATTATTTATGTGATTAAATAGGGCATACCTATTATCAACATGGTTCAACAGTGTTTTGTTTGTAAAGGACTATTAACATGTTAATCTTTCGTTCTATAGGTATGTTGATTTTTAGGAAATCTTTATGAATATGAATGTTGTTATAGATCTCATAGGCGCAGAAAAATTAATTCAAAACGTATTTAGGTACAGTAATTTATTTGTAGATTTATAAGTAACGATTTACTATAAAAATGTTTAGTTTTAATTATAATTGTAAACAATCTGACAAGCAACGATAATTTTTTGTAAGGATGTCCGATTTTTATAATTGGCCAAATAAATTGCAAGTGAAACTGACTTAAGTTTTATAATAAAACTAGTAGATATTCAAATTATTCATATTTTCGATAATAAATAGTGAGTTAAAATATAACAATACCTGTAGGTACTAATTTTACGAAAGAATAATAATATATTGTTACGCAGCACCCTGCAGCGTGCTGCGGTCGTCATAAGTAAAAGTACTAGCAAAAGAAGATAGAATATTCCAGAAATATCTGAAAATGTCATTCCACGTCAAGGAAAAGTCTAGACAGTTCGATAATGTTCAAGAAGGGAAAAGCAAGCTATATAAGCAGGGATCCTGACGTCAGTTTAGTTTTATGATAGGCATCCGTTAAAGTTATCAGTTATATAATAATTATTGTTAGGTAAAGTTGAGTTAAAATAAATTGAGATACCAAAAATCTGCGTAACATTGGTGACAGCGGTGGGATACAAATTAGTAGTTCATGGTAAATACTAGATCCACTGAGTAAGAAGAAGGCATGGATACTTCAGGCCCACCAGTACGGTTTTTGAAGATGGAAGAGGAGAGAGTAAGGCGAGAAGAGGAAAAGGAAAGGCATAGAAAGAAAGAGGAGGAAGAAAAGGAAAGGCGTAGGATGGAAGAAGAGGAGGAAAAGCAAAGGTGTAGGAAGGAAGAAGAGGAGGAAAAAGAACTTCGTAGGAAGAAAGAAGAGGAGGAAAAGGAAAGGCGTGGAAAGGAAGAAGAGAAGGAAAAGGGAAGGCGTAGGAAGGAAGAAGAGGAGGAACAGGAAAGGCGTAGGTAGGAAGAGGAAAAAGAAAAGGAAGAAAGGCGTAGGAAAGCAGAGGTAGAAATTGTGAATGGTTTGATACAAATTCAGGAAAATTTCAAGAGGTAGGAAAGCTAAACAGTCGAATAGATCTCTTAGCACAACAACAAGAGCATATAAAAATTAATTTAAAACAACACGAAACGGCTAGAATAGAGTTAGAAGAGCAAATTAGAACTGAACTAGTTGAATTAGAGAGAATTCATAGCCTATCTTTAGCAATCAACAGAGAAACTGCAAACACTACCTCGTCCTTATCTATAACCGAACCAAGCCATATCCAAAACCCACTTTCACAATGCCATACTAGAAAGTCCATTAAACCACCCACGTTTGACGGTCAGACAACGTATCGACTCCAATTTGAAGCTGCAGCCAGAGCCAATGGCTGGACTGAGAAAGAGATGGCGGATTCATTGATAGTGGCGCTGCGAGGACAGGCAGCAACTGTTTTATAGTTACTTCCCCAAAAAGAACGGAGTTATTCATCTCTCGTCCAAGCTTTGGAGACAGATATGGCCAGCAGCATTAGAAATGGATATTTCAAAGCCAGCTAAAGATTCGTAGTTAGAAACAGGAATTAGGGGCCGACATAAGAAGATTGATTCATCTGGCCTATAAACAGGTGCACAAAGATTTTCAAGAACAAATCAGAATGCAGGCATTCATTGATGGACTACAAAATGTGGAAATGCAGTTAGCCCTTCGTCTACAACATCACAAGACGATAAGAGAGAAACTGATTGCAACCCATAAATATGAAGCAGTAAAACTTCTTTCCAGATCTTCTCGCGCAAGAGTGAGAAAAATTAAATCACAGGAAAGTGAGGAGGCTAATACTAATGCTATTCCCCAATCTACCCTCTCGCAAATATTAAATATCCTGCCAAAATATGCAACGAAATAGCCAAAATGGAAGAAGGAGATGTTTTAATTGTGGAAGAATCGGGCATCTTCAAAGAACCTGTAGAAGCAGAGCTCGTTCTATAAATCGAGAATTAGGAAATGAGGTTGAAAAGTCACATAGATCAATCTTCCGAAGCTCGTCACGAAGTCCAATAAGAAATAGTCACAGCAGTTATGCGTCCCGAAGAAGTCAATTACCCACACCGAGCCGGCTTTTTAGCAATATTCAGCACGTAAAGCATCGTAGAGGCCATCTCCATAGCAACGTAGACATTCTCTCCAGGCGACCTTATTTAGAACGAGAATGCTGGTACAGTAAGGGGCTCGGAGAGCGGGAGGAACCAGTTGATAAAGTTACTCTTCGGGCAACCACTATCAAACCAGAGAGCGTCGAAGAAGAAATCACCCTTTAAAGTCTGAGAATTGGACAGAAGAAAGGCACTAACTTGAAGGTTGTTCGAGAATGGCTCAAAAATAAAGTTACACCTACTTGGCAAGAGATAGCCAAATACAGTGGAGCTATTAAAGGGTACTGGACTCAGTGAGATTCCCTGTATCTTCACGATGGCCTATTGCATCGGAAGTGGGAAAGCCCTGATGGAGTACACGTAGGCCGCCAAGTGGTACCGCCGAAATCCCATGTCAGAAGTGTGTTGGAGGAGCTTCATTGTAGCCGTTCGGGAGGACATTTTGGAACTAAAAGAACACTGGTACGAATTCAGGAAAAATTTTATTGGGTCAATTGCCCACGGGAAGTAGTGGATTGGTGTAAAAAATGTGATGTATGCAATGACAGGACAAAGGTCTACGGATTCGCTCGGGAACGACTGAAATCTATCAGCGATAAAGCAGAAGCTAGAATTGACAGGCGTGCAACAGGGATACATTTTGAGAGAGGCGACCTTGTACGGCTGTGCAATCCCAAGCACCGAGGAGGATTTCGTCAGAAATCACAACGGAACTGGGAAGGCCCCTACACCATCCTTTAGGAAAATCAACGACCTTGATCTACCGCATTCAGCTGTCAGCGGAAAGTTAGTCCAAGGTAGTTCACATTGGAAACTTAGCGCCATGCTGTGGTCCAGATTCTTCCCGTTAGCTCAACCAGGTCCCAGTAATTAAGTTATTCGGAGTAAATAACTAGAGAGGAGGGAGCAATGTTACGCAGCAACCTGCAGCGTGCTGCGGTCGTCATCAGTAAAAGTACTAGCAAAAGAAGATAGAATAGTCCAGAAATCCTGACGTCAGTTTAGTTTTATGATAGACGTTATCCGTTAAAGTTATCAGTTGTATAATTATTGTTAAAATTGAGTTAAAATAAATTGAGATACCAAAAACCTGCGTAACAATATTAAACAATCTTAATTTAATAGTCAGTCTACAGAGTAGGTACTGGGAGTTCAAATAGGAAAGGACGCAGGCCATATCTACAGAACAATTTATTGTAATGTTTTTTTTTTTTTTTAACAAAGGTCTTTCTTTAATCGCTGGAAATTATTTTCAAGTTCACAGCTAGAAGGCGCAACGCTCATTATCACGTACAGAAACTCGTTTACAAAAAAGTCAAAGTCATGTAGAACATATCAAAATCATTTTCGGAAGAAAATTTTACTCAGTTTTGATTATTTACTCTTTTATCATTGGTCATAGGCATTTTGAAATCTAGCGGTTAACTCAAACTCGACAATAATTTCTCTTAACTAGGTAGGTACGTTTTTTTGCCAAAATTCTACGGCGCATAGTTTTTGAGATATCCTATAGCCAACAACAACCGGCTTCCTTTCTTATTTGGACTCCAAGTACTTTTAGTATACAATGAATATCTGCTAAAACAATACTTAAGAATAAAAAATCGATGTATTAAATATTTACTGAGAAAATTAATAATTATAAAATATTTCCCTTTACGACTGATACCTACGCCTATGGATGTTTTTAATGCAGTCAGCAGGCGATGATGCGCTGTTGCCGTATCAAGTCAGTTTAATCGGTTCTCTCACTCCGATTCAGAGATGGAATTATTTGGGTGTTGCCTTCACAACAAGTAAGTACACTTTTATCAATGACTAGTTGGGGATGGTGATTGACACTATCCGTATTCTCAAAGACAAGTCGACATTTCAAAAATGGTGACTTAATTAGCGAATTTTATCATCTGGCAACATTGGATAGAAACATACAAGATAAGTATATTACAGCGCACAATTACTTGAAGGATACAAAATAATTCGAGATTACGTTTTTGCATTCTTATTCGACATTTCATCAATGTCGCGTGTGGCCTTTAGAAATAGACATTCGAGAATAGGGCCTGTGATCTTCAAACCGACCTGCTTTCTCTGTTTCTGCCATACTTGATACGAAAATGCCTACAAACCATTCCAATGAATACTGATACATTGGATCGACTTTGGATAAATCAGCTACACAGAAAAATAATATTTGTGCTCTATTAGCCACCGGAATATACAAAGCTCTTGTGTTGTCAATGTCAATTTGAGTTATTTCAGCTGATTCGACTTTATTCTGTAAACAAAAACAGTTTTTTTTATTGTCATTCCTGTGTGATATCAGATTAGGAAATAGGGAAATATTGTTCAATTAAAGTTATTTACTGGGATATTTGCTGGGATACTTTATATTAGGTTCATAAGGTAATTCTTAAGAGCCCCGTATACCCTAAATATTTTGTTTTTTGACCGTACCGACCGTATTTTTAAAAATATTTTTTTTTTTGTTTCCACTACGCCACTGGGGGTACAAAGTTATGACATTTATTTATGCGCTGGTTCAGTGATGATGTATTTATGGTTCCACTGACAATTAAAGTGACAGTAGATTTTTTGAGTGCGTTTTGTTAATTTTGTTTACCTAAATTATATCGTTTCTTCACTTTTATAAATATATTCCTAAAGTAAGTAGATAACATGCATCAAATATTCAATCGTTTAGTTACCAATTACATACCTTTAAACAATTTTTTTTGACCTGTAAACAATATTTAGAAATAAACTAAAAACAGTAAAAACGTATACGTCAAATTTATTGATGTTTATGTTAAAAGTATGGTTAGAATTAAATGTCAGTGGAACCAAAATGACATCACACTGAACTAGCGCATTCGCTCAGTGTGATGTCATGGTAGTGGAAGCAAAAGCGATACTAGCGCAAACTGCGGATAATTCGAGCACTTTAGGGCGATATTTTGTAATTTTGGCGTATCAAATACATGTATACATTTTACTTTTTTTTCAAAAAGTTGGTAAAAACAATACAATAAGCAACCGGAAATGCTGTGTTGTAAATTGTAAAAATACTAGCAAAAAAGTGTAAATTATAAAAAATTTCAGTAGCAAAGTGGAAATTAAATCAAATAAATGTATCGCTGTACAATACGAATAAAAATTACAGTTATTTTTGTAATAATAACTTATACTGAAAATAGTAGACATCAAAAAAGGTCGACCAGGGTCATATTCGCCTTAGCAGAGATCTCCAATATTTAATGATCAATTTGGTTAATATATTGTACCAAATCAAGCATCACAATTTTTATTATTTGGAATTAAAAAAATGATTTTCTGATCCATTTTTTAGTGGAACTTGTTATAAAACTATTTATGGGACTTAAATCATTGAAACAGACCGTGTGCAGGGATTGCCTCCATTATAAAAGCATTATTATGACAAATTCTATCAGAAAAGTTGGACGGAACAAATTGAAAGAGGCAGAGGTAATAATGTTTGTGTAAATGAAGGCTTAGAGAGCTTCATATTTATTGTTATAATACGTAGAACCTTTTTATCATCGACAGAACCTTATTTCGTTATCCCATTAGCGAGACCTTCTCCTTTATTGCTATAATACGTAGGTCCTTCTTTATCATCGACCCTTAGCCACGTATTCTTTGAAAGCTGTGTTACTGTTTCCCAACGCGGCCTTAGAAACCAACAGAAAATGGTCGACTAGTCTTCCTACGAAATAACATCTCTGTTCGAATAGCGGATCAGAAGTTCCGCAGGTTCTAACCATTGAACCAGTCATCTCATAAATTATACGTAGATTTGTACAATTTAAAAGAAAATTTAAAAATAAACCTACCTTAATATCGTTACTCTTAACTTTGGATGCTTCCAAAGTTATAATGAAGTCCAAGTCTTCAATTGGAGATATCTCTGATGAACTAAGTTTATATAAAATTCTGTCTTGAATTTCTTTTAGTTCATGTTTCATTGTAGCAATACCCACTACGATTTGAGCCCTCTGTTCTTCCAAGTCAGGCCTCTCTTGTGCAACAACTAAGGCTAACAATTGGTCTTGGAGACCCCTAAAAATATAGTAGTCATTCAAAACTATTTTTAGGATAGGTACGGAATCAAAGTAATAACTTTTACATCAAATCCACAGCGGTAAAACTATCTTTAAATCTATAGTATCCAGATAAAGATAAACGATAATATAGAATGGAGAAAACAATTACAGAAAAATTTACAAGTCTAGTGATGAAACCTAAAAAAAGTAAATTCGAGAATTTTTTTTATAATATACGATATATAGTAAGTTTTGTTGTTTTCTTTTATGGACATCTAAATAACATGAGTTCTAGAACTGTTCTCAACAGAAGCAAGAACAGCTAGAATATTGGCAAGAGCGCTAAAAATATCGTTCACATTCTAATATACGAGTAAGTATTGGCGATTCAAATTAATTTTCGCGCGCCTGTCATTTGTCAAGTAGGATGTTTGTTTATTTGCATGTGTTTGCTTTGGACATAATTTGAATTTGTGATTTTTTAATTGTTTTTAGGTAATATTCTCATTGTAATAGTGTTTTTGAGTTTAATTTAATGTTAATTTAAGTTTAAGTCTCGTGCTTTCGTCATAAATATAATATTTATCATGTGTATGACTTAATTTGTTGGAAATATTCACCTATTGGTTGCTAGAAGCACATCTAGAGAAATATGTATTTACTAAACCCAGGACATGTTTTATTATGTGGTTTAAAGGACATTACAGGTACCAAACGTTCATTATTGATGAACTTATTTAAAAATCTTACTAGACTTATTCTTATATTATGAAGTGAATTATGTAGTACTTTGTATACATGTAAATGGTAATAAAACCGTCACAAATCATATTACAGTTTGATTCTAAACAAAGTTTTGCAAAATTTCAATATTGTGAATTTGTGTAGATATCCATTTATCGTGAAAAACAAAATTTTACGACTTGCACTTGAAAAATAATGAATACTTCAGTTTTGATTTTGATATTAACACCATATAGATTGCAATTTGCTGGGGACTTTTTCGCAGATTTCATTTTTAATATAAACACTATCACATACTATAAAAGATAAACAAATTTAAATCTAAAAAGTAAGAAAAAACCTGAATTGTAATTGATACCAATTAAAATGTAAACAATGAACACGAACGCCAGTGTTGCCAAATGGTGAACTGATTTTAAAACAAAATAAACGAACTGAAATTTAAAAAAAAATCAATATAAAAGATCGGTTTTATAAAAAAAATCCTTAAATAAATATAGAGTATGATTACATACTAGGTACTATGTATACAAAAAAAATTTATTCTTAAAAGGTCTTATCCACTTCTTCAAGAACTAAAATCCGACGACGTAGCGAAATTTTGCTACTTCTGGCAACGCTGAACGATATCCTACTTATAGGGACCTACAAATTTCCTCCAGAGGGCGCATCACTTAGCTTGAATCGCGAATATATTAACTAAGCATCGTTATCGAAAACGAAAATATCACTGTTGTTATCTCGCAAGGGCTAATAGGTGAAGTTTCGCCACCAAGTGGCAGTACTGAAACGTGAGGTCTGTATTAAATGTGTGGATTTTTAATTTTATCTCGTATTAAATATATTTGAGAAACTAATAATTAAAACAGCATGTAATGAATAAATAGGGATCAATGAAAATAAAGAACAAAATAAGAGATGCTAAAGTGACTAAATAAAGAAAAACTTTAAAGATAAGGAATAATTTTATGAGTAATTTATTTGTTTATTTCTATAAGATTTTTATGAACTTTTGACACTGATCTGTAATACTTAGTGATGAGATATATTATGCTGTATTGATATCGTGAAAAAGTGTGCCGGAAATCCAACAAAATATGTCGACAGTGTTTTGAAGGGCGTAAGCGACAAAATTAGCCAAATTAAGATATGTTAAATTTAACGTGACAAAATTTCACATCGATTACCATAAAAAGAATTAACTGCCAAAAATCCAGGTCGCAAAATATTTAGGTTTTAGATATTGTAAGCGACAAATGTTCATGTCTAAATCTCGTTTAACTTTTTTATTTTCATTTTTCATATGGCCTCTTACCCGATAAGGACTTGATTGAATACATTAGCCACGTCCACCAGGTGGCGCTGAAATTCTATCACCGTTTTCTAACATGGGAGTTATCGTTATAAGAGTAAGGGTCGATTCCACCGTTGTGTTAAACGGAGATTAAAATGACGTTGTTAATGTAAACATGTAATTTTAAACTTCGTTCCACAACGGTGGAATCGGTCCTAAGTGTTCTGTGTTAGTTGTTAGTAACCGCTAAACCATCCATAAGAGAACACGTGGATTATTCTGGGAGCTTGTAAAGTCGCAAAAATGTTAAGGTACGTTAGATATTTTGTTTTTAAAGTATTCAATTGCACATATAGAATCTAAATTTTGTACTGAATTTTATTAAACACTAATACTTCTTTAATAATTTCACTAAAAAGTGCAGTGTCGCTTTCGTCCTTTCGATAAATAGCAAGTGTCATTCCGTCATGCAATTTAAATCGTCTAAATATTTCTATTTATTACAATAATACATAAACGCTGTTTTATTATATAACAAAAAAAGTGTTTTTAAATACAGGGTGTCCCGAAATTAGACGGTCATATTTTAACAGCGTAATCTACATCCTAAAATAGGGATAAAAGTTCATATATAGGTCCAAAAACGGTTCGTTTTCAAGATACAGGGTGTTACAAGTGAAGTCCTCATGGCACATTTTTGTAAATATTTTCTAAAATTTCTTTAGTCACCGGTTTTCCAAAGTAAAAAAAAGTAAAATTTCTGATTTCACAGGCCTACTAATTATTGTTTACACTTTCGAATAACTTATCATGAAATTTTCAAATGCTTTTTTCTTGAAAATGGTGCGTCCTAGTGAGATGAAACAAATGTAGCTTTATTATAAAGAAAACATTGGTTTTTCAAATTTTATATTCAAAAATGTTAAAAACTGTCAACAAAAAAACTTAGGGCAATTTTACCCTAAGCCCCCCTAATTTACCCACCTATGAAGATGATCAAAAACTGAGGTTTAGTCCATTAAATAGAACGTAAAAAGTTAAGCATTTGTACCAAATTTCACTTAGCTATCTTTAAACGTTTAGAAAATATTTACAAAAGAGTGTCATCAGGACTTCACTTTTAACACCCTGTATCTCGGAAAAGAAACGTTTTCAGACCTATGTTTATATAAACTTTTACTCCTATTTTAGTATGTAGATTATGCTGTTAAAATATGACCGTCTAATTTCGGGACACCCTGTATATATATTCTATATTATTACATTCACGTCTTTGTTTTCCTAAATGTAATTATAAATATTTTTTTCTACGTTCATGCCAAAAACAAAACTTTATTGAACTATATTTAGTGAAAAAACTGGTTTTTTATTGCACTAGTGAAAAAAATTTTTTCTTGCACTCATCTGTCATTTTACTACAGCGTTTTATGATCATGACGGTGTTGTCTTCGATTCAAAACTTACATTTATTAATCATTTGGCCATAACTGTCGCATCTTGTTATAAAGTTCTAGGTTCCATCCTACGATCTATCAAAGATTTTAATAATCTAGATACGTGCAAAACGGTTATTCTGTGCCCTTGTTAGATCCAAGCTTGAATATGCCTCTATAATATGGTCCCCTAATTATAATGTGCACGTTTTAACTTTAGAAAAGGTTCAGCGACGTTTCCTTAAGAGTCTTCATTATTATTTTCATGGAACTTACCCTGAGAGGGGATACCCACAAGACCAGCTTTTAACAATGTTTGGAATGCAGAGCTTATTTCAACGAAGAATTATATCTTCAATTATTTTCATTTTTAAAATAGTACAGCATTTAATTAAATGCCCGGCTTTATGTGCTCAGCTTAACTTCCTAGTTCCAAGAATTAATTCCAGGTACAGCTGCACATTCATTCTTCCCACTCCCAGAACAAACTTATTATGTCAGTCTCCATTGTACCATATGCTGTCCACGGTTAATGACTCGAGTAAAGAAATTGATCTATTTTGTACTACCATCTCAAAGATTAAAAAACTTTATTCCTGATTTATATCCATATATTCCTAATTAAAATATTTAGTGTAATTAAGTTTTGTATGTTTTTGTATCTAATTTCATCTTTATATATTAGTTGTTTCGCATGCGATATGTGTGAGTAACCTTTTTTCTCCACTGGAGTTTTTTTCAGATTTCTCATACAATCTCATTTATAGTTTTTACTTTAAAATTTGTTTTGCTTTTATTGTATTATTTACAAATATATGTTTATTAATGTTAAGTGCGCATTCTGTAATAGGCCTTGGCCGTTGAATGTAAGAATAAATAAATAAATAAATAAATAAATAAAATAAATAAATAAATGACAAACGTAAAAAATATTAATATTCAAAATTGTACAAATTGTACATTTACTTTTAATAATAGTGGAAAAACAACGTTTAGGCTTAATTATTGTTTAGAACACAGTTTTTCCAAAAGTTTTGGTTAAATTATTTTTCTTAACATAGTTATAGTACTTTTTCAATGTTAATCGATGCTAATTATTAGTTATTAAATATTTTGCTATTAAATTATGCTTTTTATTCTTCTGCACTTAGTGTCGCCGAAATAAAATATTTTTTGGTTTTTCCATGAACGTAGAAAAAATATTGTATGCAACTCGTGCAAAAAATGTTTATTGCACTCAACGTATTGTCCAATTTCACGTCTCGTGCAATAAGCACTTACTTTTTGCACTTGTTGCATAAATAACTATTAAGGCCTATAAAACGAGTTATACATTCATAAGATTCACATGATGATATGACAAAAAATCTCTGATTTTAATTAATTTCTAATTTGTAAATCGTAATTTGAGAATCTAACCTAACTTTTTTATGTAGTAAATTCTTATTAGATATTTACAATTATATATTTAAGTTGTACTTTATTTATTAATTTCTTAATAATTTTGCAATACTATTTAGGCATATAGGCAATTAAGGAATTGCAAATAAAAAAATGTTGTACCTCTTTTTTTTAACAACAACTAATGTAAGTAGTAGTTTTTTATTATCTGAAGATAATAATATGATCCATTAATCTTTGGTATTTAAGTTAGTTTAAAACACAATTTTACTTACGATGAGACTACTGTGAAATTCACAATCAGCACTTTAATAGATACCTCTGGTGTGTAATGAGGATTTGGGAGTTTGGTTGTGATATAGAGCTTAAAATTTTCATCATAGGGTACCACAACATCTCCCAACTTAATGACACGAGTTCCACTTTGCAAAAATACTTGGCGTAAAAGTACCGGATCTAGAGATGGATCTAATTCTTCCAAAACGTTTTCTATTAGAACTGCTTTACCAAAACGGATGGACGATTCTATTGATCTCATTAGGTCTTTATCTGCCAATTTGACAATTGTAAGACCCATACTTTTTCCCTAAGAAAGAATGTACCTACGTTAAATTCTGATTAAGTTTCAAACAAATATGAATAGTACAGGGGAAAAAGGAGCTCATTAACAATTTTGGCTTTCCGAGTTGTTTACAAAATTAGGCTTTAAACGTGATTACAGGCTTTAAGATACTCGCAATCTATAAATGAGTAAAATATTCAGATTTGGTTTGAATAGACTTTATTGTTTTTGAATAATCAAGATTTTTACCAGTTGATGTAAACACGTGTTAGACAAAAAGCGGCTCATTATACTCAACTAGGTATATAATAACAAGGGCACATATATCTGGTAAGTGTTTATTGAAAAATTATAAGACTACAAAGAAAAAGCAACTTATAACTCAAAATGTACTCTACCTGTGAGGAATGCTTGAAAAGAAATATGAGGCGTTTTCGCTGCAAAATCTCTTCAGAGACTGCAAATCCTGGTATTTCTCCTTAGATATGGACAGACTATCTGAAAATAATATAAACACAAAAATTTTATAACATAAATAATGATGAATATTATGCCTGTTACCTCCATATGTCTGACCAGGGAGAATGAACTCGTTGTTCTGTAGACCTCTTCGCAGGTGGTTTTTTGATTTCTGAATTTTTGCACGTTCCCAAAGGCCATTGTATGTAGAACGAAATTTGATTACTGGACCTGGTAGTACTTCCAACTCCTTTAAGAGACGTAACGGAAACGGTGATTTCTTGATGTATATTTTTTCTAGATGATCATTCCAGTTTATTAAAAATGAGTGGTCCACTTCAACAACCTCAAAACTGGATGGTTTACAACGTACTTCTCGAAAAACTTGGACCTATTCATTGGGCAATTCAGCTTTGGCTTTACTATTAATCAGCCCCATGTTTTTGTCACATTCGAGGTATGAATGTCATCTTATTGGGAAAGTGACTTTTATTTTCTGTAAGCTTCTTTCGATATTTACCAAAGTAAAAATCGGAACATCGTAAAATTCTTGTTTTGACCACTGCAGGAGTCACAAAATATATGTAGCTCTGTCACTGAGGGGTCCAAAAAGTTGTAGATAAAGTGATGGAGCATAGAGCAAACATCATTGCTTCACTTTTTTCCTTCAGTTTCGTCGTATACGTAGAATACACTTCGCGAGCTGGATAGAACATGAACATTGAACGAATAAACGACAATTGCCTCTTGTAATAGACATCGTTCGTAGAAATGTTGGGTACTGGCAGGTTTTTACCATAATCAATGCATATAGCCTCCATATGTGCAGATTTTTTGAATACATCTTTTGTATCTCTTTTTCTTTTATAGAATGTCTCGGCTTTTCTTTTGTGAATATTGTTTTCTATAGTAATGCTCTCAATTTTTTTTGTTATTTTCTCGACGTCTTCGTCATTGCTTGCTGTTCTTTTTTCTGCTTCTAAACCTTTTAACTTTGCCACAAACTCATCGCATGTGCTACATGTATCAGTACGTGGGTACCCGAAAGCTATGTTAAAATCATGATTAAAAATAGTTCTATAACTTTCGTAGGACAGTTTAATAGTTGGGTGGAGCTAACAAAACATGTTGTACATCTTCTTTACACACAAATCTTCGGGCAAATAAAGTTTTGAGGTCCTATTCAAGCTGTAATGGCTATTTCTTCCTTTAAATGAATTAATGTGTTCACGGACTGCACTTTTTGTTTCAATGCTAAGCGAGTTCTCTTGTTTACCATGCAAGCCACGTTTGTCTTCCGGTGCTGATCCAGTCGATTTGAGGCTCTTTACTGGATACTCAACTTTTTTTCGTGATACCATGAACAGATATAAAAGCTTTACGGCATACTTCAAATTCTTTCACAGCATCATTAAACATTCCTCTTAATCGATATTTTTAAGTCGCTTTATAATTCTTACTTACCGTAAAACGGGGTTACTTCGACAGCGGAGGTAACCTCGACATGTATATTACACTGCATTTCTTTTCAGGCTTTTTGTTGCTTTTCAGGTTATCCAATGTTTTTCATTGTTCTTATTTTGTTTAATAAATTTTTTCATTAAAATTATTTTGTTTTATTTGTTATTTTTTTATTTTTTTCAAATTTTTAATTTTTTCACTTTCCTTTAGTTTTTCTTTTTTTTTTTTTCAGGTTAGATAGGTAATTTTATTGAAGATACCGCGCATCTACGTCAAAAAGCTATAGGGTAGACCTTACCTTAACTACAAAAAGGAGAATTGAAGCGGTAAAAAACGGAATGTCCAAATTTAGAGCTAGTAAAAAATGTATAGTTCCGAGAACAACACTGATAGACAAAATTCAGGAAACTAATCCTTCAAGACCTGGTCGTACATGCGTGCTGACTGTCGAGGAAGAACAGTTGTTAGCAAAAACCCTTGGAGTAGTGAGCGACTGGGGCTTCCCCATGACACGCCAGAATATACGTCAAGTTGTAGCGAAATTTGTGACGAAGCAAGGAAAAAACATTCCAGAATGGAATAACAACGAGCCAGGTCTGAATTTTATAAACAAGTTTGCTGCGAGAAACAACCTGACAACCCGATTGGCTTCCAATATCAAACGTCAGAGGGCTGCCGTGGGTAAGCCGGAACTACAAGAATTTTTTGAGAACATTAGGGGTATCTTAGGAAATGTGTTGCCAGAACATGTCTACAACTACGACGAGACGAACATCACCGGTGATCCTAGCTCTAAAAAAGTTATGGTGCCCAGAGGAACCAAGAGAGTCGAAAGAGTTTAAGAGCACTCAAGGACATCGGTCAGTATAATGGTTTGTGGAACAGCTAAGGGGGGCTTGCTTCCTCCCATGGTTGTTTATAAAGCCCAACACCTATATGAAAATTTGACGACTGGAGGTCCTGCAGGCTCAGTTTATCAGGTGACGCCAAGTGGATGGTTTGATATGACAACTTTTGAAAAATGGTTTTTGATATCCTGATCCCTCACATAAACGCCAACAGCACCCCAGAACAAAAAAATGTAATTAGTAATAATCTTGCGTCACACTTCTCCCCTCGTGTTATCGAAACATCTCAAGCGAATAATATTTATATGACTCCCCCCTACCTGAAAACGCATTTGATGCAGCCCCTCGACGTGAGTTTTTTGCTCCTATGAATCGAAAATGACGCGAAGTTCTGGATTCATGGAGAAAGGAATGTCGTCGAAAAGGAAGCTTCCCAGAGGAACAATTCCCAAAATTCCTAAATCGATTGTGGTCCCATGTAGCAAATAATGCTGCCACAAACCTACAATCTGGCTTTAGGGCAACAGGGCTAAGCCCCTTTAATCCAGAAAGAGTTCTAGCAAACATTCCTGGCGACCAGTCGGATTCCGAGAGCGTGCTGGATTCAAGTTTATTAGAGTTTCTAAAGGAGGCTAGAGGATATTCTAATGAACCGACAAATACTCTCAAAAGGGGAAGGAAAGTAGCCACAAAACCAGGCCAGCAGATGCAAATGCCAGTTGGAACAAGCACTATAACGCACTCAAACTCAGCAATAAAACCACTGGACTTTCCAGAAATTCCTAAAGTTAATACAACTCCCACTACTCAAAAACCACAGAAAAATTTGAAGGCAAGCCGCTCCATCAAACCTAAAAAAATTAAAACAGTTGATTTTGATGAACCTGGACTATCGAGAGCTCACCAAAAACAGACGAAAGTTGTCACTAATTCTGAATCTTTTTGTTCGGTATGCAAATGTTCTTACGCAGCTTACACTGACAGCAATGACTGGATTTGTTGCGTTTCTTGCTTAAAGTGGGTTTGCGGTATTTGCAATTGTGGCTCCAAAAACCCTCAATATGAATGTCCTTCGTGCAGTTCGTGTTCCATTTGCTTAATACAATACTCCGAATACACAAACAGAAAGGCATGGATCAAGTGTATAAACTGTGGAAAGTGGGTTTGTGGATATTGCAACGGGGGTTCGAAAGAAGCAAGATACGATTTATCTGCATGTTTCGACGACGATTAAAAATCGGTTCCCTTCTTATTATGTTTTAAATTTGTTTCCAAATCATCATATTTATGTTTTTTTAATTTGTTTATTGAGTTTTAATTAAGTATAATAATGTTTTTTTTTTTAGTTGTTCATTCATATTCCAAAATGTGCCATACCAAAGATTTTAAAAATAAACGACTTTGTAAAATTATTCTCAATGCCTTATTTGCCCAATTTAGGCCTCTAAACCTGTTGCCTAATGATTCTGGTTAATAATTTATAATGACCTCTACTTTTTTTGGTGTCGAAGTTGACTTGGAGAAATCTAACTTTGACATCATGCAGAATTAAATAGGGTGTCGAAGTTACCCCGTACCCGGGGTAACTTCGACACCAAACAAAAATTAAAAAAAAGGGAAGAAGGGGAGGGAGGGGGATTTTTTGTTTTTTGCTATGAAGAACCAAGGCTTCAATTGTTACAATGACTCATGAGCCAAGATTCTGAAGAAAATGGTTTTCTTCACAGAGCACGAAGTATAACTAAAACCTGTCGAAGTAACCCCGTTTTACGGTACTTCTTTTTTTGATGGTCGCTGGACGGGCATGATGGATATTAGTCCACAAAGGTATACATTTTGTGCGTTAGTAGAAGTCAGAAGATTAAATCGTTGCAGAATTTTAATTCTAGTCTCTTGTGGCACACTTTTTTTGGCACTGGCAGTCTGGTCCCATTTCATGTTACATAGTTTTAATTTTTTTCCTAACATCTCTCATTCTTCCGGTTATTTTCTTTTTCTCGTTTTCTTTACATCCACACCATCTTCAAACTCATTATCATCACTACTGATACACATTTTTAATTATCACTTCTTTCAAGAACGTGTCATGTAAACAAACAGGTGAATATATCCTCTAAATCAGTATGCCAAACAGTCAAACATTGGCAAAAGCCGCGCGCATAATAACTTCTGACGCAATAAGCCCCTTCTCATCTGCATCTGCTAAATGAGCCCGTTCTTGCCCTGTACACTATTTTTTTAAATACTGATATAGCT